CACATGCAGCGCCTCATTTGGATGTGTCTGGAGTCTTGGAAGCTTGACTACCCTACGTTCTCCTACAAATGGACCTTGAGAGCTTGTTTGGAGGTTCTAGCAGGGGAGCGCAGCTACTCGTATACCCTTGACCGAAGACCGGTCCTCTCCTGGGTGGGGGGAGCGGGGGGAGGTCGTCCTCTTCGACCGAGCGCACAGCTTCGGGAGGGACGCACATGGATCGGTGAGGGAGGAGGGGGACACCCGCCTAGCCAGCCAGATCAGCCGAATCAACCCTGGCGATCAATGGGGTGACAGATGTCGCAGCCAGATCGCCCTCACATCCTGAAGTTGTTTTTTAAAATGTTTAAAGAGGCAAAGGAAAGAAGAACTTAAGTATCAGACTAATAAAGGAGTCCTATATACCAGGAGGGCACATATGACTTTTTTAAAAGCTTGGTCTGCTTCACTAAGTGCACAGCACTTCCAGAGAATAATTTTTAATTGCATCTGTATATTTAATTATGTAAGTATATCTGCAGGCACTCTGATAAACCACAGTCTGTAGAGTTCAATACTACAAATTTAGCTTCCATTATATTATTTTCCGCTTAAATACAATACTAAAAATTTAGCTTCCATTATATTATTTTTGCTTTGTATTGCAGATGACTAAATACCATGCTTTTTGTATAATAGGAATATTAATGGTAGTAATAGTTCTTATTTGTACTTTGACAGCTCTTACTATGTACCATCACTACTCTATTTTATATACTTTAACTTAATCCTCATAACACGTTATGAAGTAGAGACTATTGTTATCTTTGTCTATAGATGAAGAGCTAAGAGATAGAAAGGTCAAGTGTCTTGTCCAAGTTAGTGGCAGAGCTGGAATTTGAACCTAAGCAGCCTGTCTCTAGAGCCCCATTTTTTAAAAATTATATTTTTATTGATTTCAGAGAGGAAGGGAGAGAGAGAAACATCAATGATGAGAGAGAATCACTGATTGGCTGCCTCCTACACGCCCCACAATGGGGATTGAACCCGCAACCCAGGCATATGCCCTGACCAGGAATCAAACCCTGACCTCCTGATTCATAGATCAGTGCTCAACCACTGAGCCACGCTAGAGTCCATATCTTTGATACACATATTCTGTGTTTCAAGAGCTCATTTTTAAGTTTCTTCAGGACAAGAACAAGAAGGTCTAGCACAACGCCCTTTATTTCATAAATAGCTGTTAACTCACAGGCTGGAAGCTCTGTTGCAACCCTTCCCTGGATGGTCATCAATTCACTGTGACCTAAGCATTGTCTCTCAAGAGAATACATTAAGGCATGTCCCAAAGACAAAAGAGATGGTACAGAATAGGAAACCAGAAAAAGGAAGATCATCAACATCAACATAGGACAAAAGTTCCTTTCAGTTCATCCAACAGGAACTGTGTAACCTCTCTCTCTCTCTCTCTCTCTCTCTCTCTCTCTCACACACACACACACACACACACACACACACACACACACACACACGCCTGGCTTTGAATTAAATGGAGAGGGTTCAAAGACATAGGCTTACCATCAACATTTACAACCTAGAGCAAAAGCTCTTGAACAGGGGGTGGGAATAGGGGCTGATGGAAAAGGCAGATTCCTAGGGCCAGACCCACAGAACACATTTTGAGAAAATCCTAGGAGAATATGGATGATAGGTGGCCAGATGAGGAGAGAGTATCCCAGGTTGGGAGAACAGAATGAACATTGATTCAGCAGGAAAGAGCATGTCTTGTCTGGGGAAGAGTAAGGAAACACCCGGAAGGGGCCCGGGGTGCTCAGGGGCACCCCTCCAGGGCCAGCTGCCCTCTGCATGCAGCAGCCCCTTGCAGACGGGTATGCACTTGCAAACACTTCAGCTCTTGGGACCACACCCAGCCCAAATCCGGGTGATTAGATGCCCTGGTTTGCCAGGACAGTTCTGCTTTATTCCTGTTATCCCAGCACCCCTTCTGGTTAGTGTCCCCGTTCACTTTCAAAAGCATCCTGTTTGTAGTGATAAATGGCATGGTCACCCGAGCAAACCCCACTTTGTGCAGCCTGACTTAGTAGATCCTTCTGCCTCCCTGCCATTCCTGAATCCCATCTCTCCTCTTTAGAGGTTTTAGGAACCTGACTTACACTCATTGGCTTCACTCCCTACTCCATCAATGGAAGCTTAAGCTGTGTCTCGAATATATCTGATGAGAAGATCCCCAATTAAAAATATAATGACTTAGCTTTCTAAGTGGCCTTAATCACCAAATCAAATAGGCTGCATACGTAATTTAATAAAATATACATGTATACCTAGCTAGTGTCACTCGGTTGGGCGTCGTCCTGTACACCAAAAGGCTGTCGGTTGGATTCCCGGTCAAGCACGTGCCCCAGTTGTGGTCTTGATGCCCAGTAGGGGGCGGGCAGGAGGCTGCCATTCAATGTTTCTCTCTCACATTGATGTTTCTCTCCCTCTCCCTCTCCCTTTCTCTCTCTTGAAAAATCAATAAAAAATCTTTTAAAAACAAATAAAACACACGTACAGTGTTAAAAAAAAAAAAAGTACCCAGAAATTGGCATAATCCAAATCTCAAGGTGATTTGTATTTCACTAGAAACCTACTGACATGAGAGGAAAATATGTGTTCATTGATGTTTCAAAGAAATGTATAATACACCTTTCCAGGTACTTAGAGAACTGTTAGGTACGGACCAATGCTCTTAAGTAATTAAAGTCTATGGTGCCAGACAAGTGTCTCAATAAACACACTTTCTACTACCTTTTAACATGGAAATTTAAGTGCTTATTTACATTTACTTTCGGATTTAAAATTGAACAGATGTCTCCCGGCTCTTCTGAGAATCAAAATGGCTTATATAATCCTTCAGATCAAAACACTTTATGCCATCACAAACTTTCCATTTAATTCTATTGCCAATTCAAAATATTGATGTGGTTTTATTTCAGGTTTACGTAAAGCAACGCCTGGAGGGCATTGGCCCCCACCTGCTGCATTTTCAATACTCAGGTTGCTTTTTCTCTTATAAATGTCTTGGCAAGAACTAGACAAAAGGGTTTTCTGCAGAAACAAGGTCCATGTGAAAGATTTAAGAAATATCTTTTAGAAAGTTTGCTATCAGAATACTTCATCAAACGTGAATTAGGTTCAGATGGAAAGCTAAAGTAATGACTTACTACAGGAATGTTTACCTGGGGTTTCTTTCACTCATTTAAACTCAACAAGTATTTTAAACACTAGACCATATTTTCAAGCTAACCTATGTGCCACTAGAGCTGTTTGGTAGACTTGATAAAGTGATCTTTGGACTCCTGGCATGTGCAAAGCCCTGTGACAGCTACTGAATGGGATAACATGCAATTTTCAGGGGACTGGACTTTGAGACATTGCTTAAGTGATCACAGGATTTTAACAGCAAGAGAGATGGGGTGGGTGAAAGCATAAAAGGAATTCTAGGCGTAAAGAATTGTTGAGGCAAAGGTGGGTGGGGAGAGGTGTGAGAGGTGGAGAAACAGGTAAGTGTGCACTGGGTGGGATGGTGAGGGAGATAAGTGTTCAGGAGATCCTGGTGTCTCTCTCTTCCTGCTGGACAGTAAGTTTGCATCTTGTTTTGAAAGTTTCCAGGCAAATGAAAGACATGATGCAATCGCTGCTTGTAGATCTGAACTGCCATTGGTAAAGGTTGGAGCCAGAGGCCAATTAGGAGGGTATTGCTAGTGTTCGGATTAAAAAACAAACAAACCCAAAAATAATACGGATGCAAGCTGGGAAAGCAGCAGTGGGAAGAGAAAGGAGGGGTCGATTTTTGAAAATTGTAATTCAAATCCATAGGACGTGGCAACTGTTTGTATGTGAGGAGCTAACGGGATGGGCCTTCCAAGGTAGCGATGTGATTTCGAGCCTGGAGGGTGGGAAGGTGGTGGAACCATCAAGATAAACGGAGGCCGCAAATGCAGGTGGTGCTGGAGTGAGGTGCTGGGGTAACCACAGGAGAAGTATAAACAATCTATAGACCCAGGAAATGTCCTTAATTACAAATGAGCGTTGTGGCCCGGGCTGGTGTGGCTCCGTTGGTTGGAACGTTGTCCTGTGCACCAAAAGGTCACGGGTTCGATTCCTTGTCAGGGCACATGCCCAGGTGGTGGGTTCGATCCCCAGTTGGGGCACGTACCAGAGGCAACCCATCAATGTTTCTCTCTCTCTCTTTCTCCCCCCCACCTTCTCCCTTCCTCTCTCTCTAAAACCAATAAAAACATGCCCTGGGGTGAGGGTGAAAATAAGTAAGTAAATAAATAACCATCAGCTGAGTGAGTGCAGGAAGGAGGGAAGGAGCTTTCCAGGAGGCAGGCCTGTGGCTCAGGAGAGAGGTCCTGCGCGGAGGGGTACATGTGGAGTCAGGACACAGAGGTGGTCAGTGAGTGAGACGACCCCGGGGAGCAACGCGCAGTCAGGGCCCAGAAGCCAGAGTGAGGATGGGAACAGGCAGGGGGCAGAGGCCAGAACCTAGAGAGAGCAGAGTTGCCAACATGGAAGGAGGCAGGTGTCTCTAAATAAAGAGGGACCCAGCACAAGTCACTAGCGTTGCTATCTTGGAGTTTAGGGATTGGGTGAAAGCATTATGTGCCGTGTTCTATGCCAAGAGCTTCACCTGCCTTTCCCTCACACTCACCCTTGTGGGTAGGTCCTACTAACTAAACGGTGAGAGGAGGTTCAGGTCCATTCAGCGACCTCCCCAGCGCCACACAGCTGGCTGGTGGAAGGGCACCCCGAAACCTGTTCATCTCACACACTTGGCCAAGAACTCCAATAGGGCGGCGAGGGTAGGAGCCAGATCTCAGCGCCTGGGCAAGAGAAGGGGACAGGAACGCACACGTGTTCTGTGCTCCCTGTGGGTCTGGGACTGTGCTGGATGCTCTATGAATGTAGACACTGGAAGCGCCACACAGCTGGCTGGTGGAAGGGCACCCCGAAACCTGTTCATCTCACACACTTGGCCAAGAACTCCAATAGGGCGGCGAGAGTAGGAGCCAGATCTCAGCGCCTGGGCAAGAGAAGGGGACAGGAACGCACACGTGTTCTGTGCTCCCTGTGGGTCTGGGACTGTGCTGGATGCTCTATGAATGTAGACACAGGTGGTGAACGCAGAGAGAGGGCACGGCAGCTGGGGAGGAAAACGGGGTGGCTGCTATTCAGAGGGGCTGTTACTCTGGGTCTCGTGCTAGAACCTGGTAATCGTTTCACAAAACAGAAACCTGCATTCAAACGAGCTTCTTGAAACTAGATTTCCCAGCCGCAACAGAATGTAGTGGCTTGCTATTTCCTTACACGTGAAACATGCTATTTCTTATATTTACGCGTACAAGTATCCATGCATTCGTGTAGTGGCTTGCTATTTCCTTACACGTGAAACATGCTGTTTCTTATATTTACTACGCGTACAAGTATCCATGCATTCTAATGGTACATACTTTTTGGGGTCCCTTCTTTTTTTCTGATGAGAGTATGATATTTCCTTTCAAAACGATAATGCCCCTCAGCTCTGGATCATGGGAAACACAAGGAAAATAGGCCATGAGGACATAGGAGCTAGCCACGAAAATCAGCACCACGCAGCGGGGTGGTGAATTCTGTTCATCACGGGGCAGAAGATACCTGGGAGGGGAAGAGGATTCGCTCTGTCCTTCTGAGGCCCTTGTGGCCCTTGTGGAACTCACCCAGGCCTTCCCCTGGGGGCCTGGGGGGGACCCTGTCAGGGAAGCTGTGGTGTTGGGGGGCCTCCGAGAGCAATGCATGCTGAGCCCGAGCAGTGTGCTCTACTGGGCGGTTGCTTGCTGTCCAGTCATTGCCCCTTGGAGCCAGCGGTCAGCCTGGCGTATCTCTGAATGTCCACAAAGGGCAGGAGAATGTCTTCTTCTGTATCCAGAGAAGGGAAGGCCAGACCTGTGCTCAGCTTCCAGGGCAGGGGAACCGCCAGGGCAGAAAGGTCGTTGTAGATCAGCCCTCGCCTCGGGCCGTGAGGAAGCTGTTTGATAAGCTTGGAGCAATCACTGCTCTTGAATATCAGCGAGCTTTTCATGGAGGGGATTTTAAATGAGCTCCCAAGTCAGAATAATTGGGAAGGTTGAAAGAAGGGCAGATCAGAAAGCTGTGCCCACCCGGTGCCAAAACAATGAATGAAAATGGGAAGAATGGAATCCACCCATTGTCTGGATGCCCTAAAACTGCTGCCCCTCCCTCCTACCCCAGGACTAGGTATTTCTGTGAAGTGCTCAAGGCTGAATCTCCACGGGACCCCCTTAGTTCCATGTCAACCCCTCCATTCTAATGGCACCAGGGTCTTTGAGGCCCCTCCAATGAGCAAGTTCAAATGTCTGATCCAGGCCGGTTTCTGAGAAGCAGGTTTTTGACTTGTACCCACCACTGGCCAGTGGCATCCTGCACTGCATGACAAAGCTAGGACTGAGGCAGAACTCCCACCTCTGGCTTGATTGCCCATGGAGGGCTAGCATCAGGTGGACACAGCATAAAGCAATGCAAAGTTTAAACCGAAGGACCCATTTTCTTCCAGCTCTAGCATGACTGGAAGAACCCAGGCATGTGCCCTGACCGGGAATAGAGTCTGGTTCATCTTTCTTAATGTATGTGAAATCATTTAATCCAAAGAAAATAATTATCAGATTTATTGACTGAGGCAAAGCAGAGGCTGAGACCTCAAAGGAGACCTGGAAATTATCTGTAGGAACTTCTGATTTGCCACTCAACTGAGTCACTGAGAGCCTAAACTAGATGCCCCCTTTGTGGGGGCTGTGTGGAGGCCTGCGTGCCAGGACCCAGGGCAGCTTGGACTGAGACTATGGCAGCGTTGCCCTGCCGTCCTCAGCGTCACGAGCAGTGAGTGCACACGCTCTCCTCCCTGGAATCTTCGAGCCTGGCACTGCTTGTCCTCTGAGGGCTGGTCTCGGCCCTTCAGCTCCTTCCCAGGCAGGAAACAGAGGCAGCCCCAGGGCGGGGACAGGACTGTGAACACATCCCACATCCAGAAAGGGTCTGGGGCAGCCACCTGCCCTGAGGCACCCCCAGGCCAACTGTCCTGCTGCCCTCTCTACACCAGGCCAGCCATTCCAGACTCCTGGGGACCGCTCAGCACCTGTGCTACCTTTAATATCATTGCAGGGCATGTGTAGAGGGCCTCGGGCACTTATACTATTGGTTGAACTATGAATTTGAACTATATGAAATTGCCATTTTGGGGGGGGGTGTCAATCAAACATGGTAAAAAAATGTAATGTGTTTATTCTCACAATAGACATTGTGAGAAAAGTAGAGGGTATGTGGTGGAAAGAGCACACTTATGAGAGCCAGACCTGGGTTCAAGTCTCACTTCTATATCACTTTCATTCAACAAACATATCCTGCATTCCTGCTCTGGGCGTGGGCCTGCCCTGGCAGCTGGACATGTAGTGCTGATGAAGACAGATGGGCCTTGCTCTTCATGGCACCTGTAGTGTAGGCTTATCTTCTGGGGCCACTTCCTAGCTCTGTGATGTTGGGCCCATGACTTGGCCTCTCTGAACTTCAGCTAAGTGTTGTGAAGACTAAATGAGATGATGCAAGTTAGGCTGGAAATGCATTGGTGGCCTTTAAAAAATGGTACTTCTATTATTTTACTGTGGCTCATAGAGAACTCCTAGTAAATATTTACTGAATGGAAGAGCTTTGGGATGTACTGTGGGAATCTTTAAGTCTACCCCCTAAGAGCCTAAACTAGATGCCCCCACAGGTGAAAGGTGCACCTGGGCAGGGGCCCCTGTAGGGGAAGCTCTTGCATCCCAGAGACCACCACTCCCCACCCACCTGGGACCTGGGAGAGACCAGCTGTGGTCAGCTCCCATGAAGTCAGGAGGGCAGTGGGCATAGGGAGGGAGAGTCTGGTTCATCTTTCTTAATGTGTGTGAAATCATTTAATCCAAAGAAAATAACTATCAGATTTATTGACTGAGGCAAAGCAGAGGCTGAGACCTCAAAGGAGACCTGGAAATTATCTGTAGGAACTTCTGGTTTGCCACTCAACTGAGTCACTGGCGTGAATATATACTAGTACATGGAGTTAAGCATTTCCTTTGCAGCCCAGGGGCCTATGTCCAGGCTTTGTGTGCAAACAGGCCATGTGGCTATTTCATTCATGCCATTAAAAGTTGCATAAGTCATGCTGGACAAGGTGTTAATAAGTGCAAAGTTGCCCTAGCCGGTTTGGCCTTGGCTCAGTGGATAGAGTGTTGGCCTGCAGACCGAATGGTCCCAGGTTCGATTGCGGCCAAGGGCACACATTTAGGTTGTGGGCTTGATCCCCAGTGGGGAGTGTGCAGGAGGCAGCCAATCAATGATTCTCCCTCATCATTGAAGTTTCTATCTTTCTCTCCCTTTCCCTTCCTCTCTGAAATCAATAAAAATATATTAAAACTAATTATAAGTGCAAAGTTGCTATCGAGCAGTATAGCCTCTAATGGTACCTTTCCTGTCTTCATAGTCTTGAGTTCTGTGCTGCTTTCCCGGTCCATTCATCATAAGTGCACAGGGAGATGAGACCAACAATTGCATTAACTTGTTTTCATACAGTTTTCTGGTGGAAGCTGAGGAAGAATGTGGAGAATAGATTAAGTTGTTCTGTTTGTATCTGGGATCTTACTGGGTTCAAGGTATTTCACAACTCAGATCCTTATTCTTTTTATTTAATATGTTTTTATTGATTTCAGAGAGGAAGGAAGAGGGAAAGAGAAATAGAAACATCAATGATGAGAATCATTGATCGGCTGCCTCCTGCATGCCCCACACTGGGGATTGAGCCTGCAACCCAGGCATGTGCCCTGGCCGGGAATAGAACCATGACCTCCTGGTTCCTGTGTTGAGGCTCAACCCCTGAGCCATGCCAGCCAGGCTCAGCTTCTTACTCTTTTTTTTAAAATATATTTTATTGATTTTTTACAGAGAGGAAGGGAGAGGGATAGAGAGTTAGAAACATCGGTGAGAGAGAAACATTGATCAGCTGCCTCCTGCACGCCCCCTACTGGGGATGTGCCCACAGCCAAGGCACATGCCCTTGACCAGAATCGAACCTGGGACCCTTGAGTCTGCAGGCTGACGCTCTATCCACTGAGCCAAACCGGTTAGGGCAGCTTCTTACTCTTATACTTACATTATTAACTGTGTTTTTGACAATGAGGTGGACCCCACAGCTACTCAACTCACTCTGTCCCTTCCACAAACACTTCAGGTGAGGCCTCTATGAGATAGCCATAGAGTCAGGCATTGGCTACATCTGAGAAGACTGACAAAGTTGTAACTCTATCTATGGGGACTATGGACAATACATACATGCATAGTTAGCACAGTGCACATACTAGGAATGAAAAAGAACCCAGGGTGATATAATCAAGAGTAACTGGGGGAAAGAGATTATTTTTCTGTCTGACACCACACTTATTAATCTGTGTGAAGTATCTGAGTGTATTTATCACCTCTTCCCTTCTTTAGGGTTTTTCTGCTTTTTTAAAAATTTTCCTATTTATAGTTTAATGATTTTTATTGTATATGTTTCTTCCACTATAAATAAATTTAAATCTGGGAGGTAGTCTATGAGTCATAGATGACTAGTCTCTAATATTTGCTGCATACATACATAGAATTGGGCCAGGTGAAAATCCAAGCTTATTAAGTTCATTCTGTAATTCATAGTCACTCAGACATTTCACGTCCACCATGGTGATGGAAGTTTGGTCTCTTTTCTGATAGCGAGATCTCTGAAAGAGTAAAACATTAAGTTCATTAAGACAGTCTTCCAAGGAAGAACTAAAAGGTCACTAGTCCGCTCAAGTGTGTCCAAACTGAGCTCCCCAATCTTGGAGGTGCAAAGGCAAGAAAGAAAAAAAAAATCATCATTTTCTGCTCTTTCTGCCACAAATCTATTCCAGATTTGTTTGCCTCGATGCCACGTTTGGGGTGGGTGTCACTTTCCCCCATGTTGGGGTTCAATTCTTTCTAACTTTTCTACTCAACTAATGTGAGGGAAATCTCCTGCCCAAAATGAACGAATGAACACATCTCCCTATTCCTGCGTGGGAACTGAGAAAGACTCAAGTTCTGAGAAGATAAGAAGTTAATTAAATATGAAAGAGCTGAGAGCGATGTTTTAGTGAGTTAAATGGAAGTTATTTATCCCTGCCCGCCTTTTGATGAGAGTACAGAGCATTCAGATATTGCAAACAGTAGTAGTTTCCACACTTGTAATTTAACTCTGAATGTAACAAGAGGGTCGTTTTTAATTAACCGCCAGCAGACTCTGTAATTGCTGAATTGGCATTTGAAAAAGTCAGCTGTTCATTCGCTGGCACATGAATTGATTTATATAGATTTACGCAAGTCTCAATATGGCTCCCCTCACCTGCACAGCCTCACGTTCGACCAGTGTTATCCAGTTGATCCCTCTATCCCCCCAAACTGGCCCCTCTACCCACTTAACAAAATCCCAACAGACAGACCCATTTGTCAAACCTTTTAACAGAGATTTTTAATTTAGGGGTTTATTTATTGTACCTCGTTTCTATCATGTTTCCAGGCTTTTTAATATCACAGTGAAAATGACTTCAAGACAATTACTCAGCATTGGAGGATCTGGACCAATTTTAAGTAATGACTTTGCCTTTATTGGTGATCAGTCAATGTCCAATTAGGAAGAACATTGTACGCAAGCTAGAAAAAGCTGTGAATTGTCATGCATACCAAGGTTGTTTGAGAACTCCTGGCTTAACAGGTCTCCACTTTTAAAGCTATACTCGGACCAGGGTCACACAAGTGTTTCGTAAAGGTGTTACCCTCTTTTCTGTCTGTTTAAGAAGCTGAATTAACATCTTTAGGTCACTAGTAAACATCCTAATGTTAGGAAGGAAAAGGACAATGCGCTTCCATTTTTAATTTTTATGTATTTATTTATTTATTTATTTTTACTGGAAGCTAGCTTAGGCAGATCCTGTGACATTTCCTCCAGAGAACAGCTGTCTGTTGTTTCGCCACCTTCCCAAAAATAACCTCCAAAAGAGCCCTCATCAATTTCAAGTGACACTAGACAATTGCCTAGAGGGAACCCACATATGGAAGAGGAATATTCAAATGGGATCCAACTGGATGATGAATCCACTTACCCCTTACATGGTTGTCTAAAGTCTGTGCAGTTGGGTTGGTTACTGAAGCTGGGTGAGTTTCACCCAAAGTTCCCACTAGCAACCAACCCCTTTTTGCCTGCTGGATATTATGATAATCATAATACTGACAGTGTGACATCAATAACCTCCCTAGCAACAGACTGATGTGAAAGTCTGAGGATTCATTTAACCGAGGTTCAAACAGAGGTGGCGCTGGTTGACTTCATAGGCTGACCGCCATGGTAAAATGTCCAGGGGTGCAGGGGCAGTGATCAGCATGAACGGGAAGTGAGGAGAAAGAGCTGCCACCACACCAAACGCTGCCAAGAAGCTGGGAAGATAAAGGAGAAATCAAATGTCACGCATCTAGGCCATACTAAGACCCACAGTAGCAGATGGGGAGTTTGGCCATATCCTCTAGGGAAAATGAGAAAATGAAAGAAACCTATATTAACTTGTTAAGGAATTGCTCATTTAAAAATAAGGATCTGGATAGAGTGCAGATAAATAATACTTTGCAGAATTGTGATGGTCTTGGCCATCCAAACTCCTATCTCGTTTCATCCTCGGCACATTCCTGTGACAACCCCGGGACAGACAGCATCGATGTTACAGGAGACCAGTTCTTGTTGTTGCTTTAGTTTCTTTAAGGAAAGATCCCTTGGACTATTAGCTTGAGTTTGCTGAGACAATTGTGCAAGACAAATTAGGCTGAAACAAGTATTGCAAGACAAAATGTAACGTTGGGAAAACACATGCCTTAATTAAATACCAGGGATCGGAAGGAGCCACCTGAAAGGGGTTAGGGGGACAGTGGAGCCAGCCTGACAGGAGCCAAATCCCAGCCTGTCTCTTTCCAGCTGGGTGACGGATGCCAAGCAGGGGAAGTTACTAAACTCATTGTCCCCTTGGCTTCATCTGCAATGGGGATGACAAGGGTACCCACCTCCCAGGGCTGTTACGTGCATGTAATGAGTTCTACCACGAAGCAAGCACTGATTATTCCTGTGCCCTAGCCTCAGAGAGATTCCACATCCAGCCTCTTCTTCAGGGGGCTCCGTTCTATTTACACTTACCCGTGGACCCTATTGTTTCTATACTTTCCCGATGCTGGGAAAGGACTGAGCACCTTTGGGTGCATGGTCAGGGAGACTCCTTGAGTGATCCAAGCTGAGGCTCTGTGGTAGGCCGTTAGACAGACATGAGCAGAGCAAGGACGATGGGCCAGGTGCAGAAGGTCACCAGGGTGGAAGCCCCCGGTGCCTAGCAATGGGCAAAACTGGGAAAACAAGATCGCCCCATCCTGAAAGGACACACCTGGGAAGCTGCTGGATATTCTGAGAGCTCCAGATAAACACTCTCAGGTCGAAGGACCCAGTGTGCTCTCTCTCTCTCAAGAGCACACCCTCACCTTTCTCGACCTCCTCCTCTTCCTCCCCACCCTCCTGAGCTCCAAGGGTCCCTTCTTTTGCCTCTGTAACTTGTTTCCTGAGCCCATGTCTTTGACCACTCACTTCTTCTACCTCTGTGGCTTTCTAAATAAACTTTCTCTTATAGTTTGAGCCTTGCCTCAGAATTCTTTCTTAGCCAGAACTCAAGTACTGAGGTTGCCAAACCGAGGTCCGGTCTGACTCCACCGGTCTAACACCTGGCGCCATTTCGCCGCCAACAGTTCCGAGAGCCATGGCTCAGTTTCCAAACAAACATGTAATACACGCGTTTGCCAACACCCAAACATGGGATGCACCAGGCAAAGACCTTGAAAGTTGACACATTTGTTTCCATCAAAGCAAATACATGATAGGCTTGGGTTATTAGGATGCGGAAGCATTTTGTTTACATTTCCCAGAATTGCTTTACACAAAAAAAGCAAACAGCAGGTGGAACCCCTTCCATTTAAGCAGTTAAACTATTGGAATGAAACAGGCGTTTCTAAAATAAATTTTGGTCAGACTTCTGGGGTTTATAACAAGCGAGGTTGACAAAGGATTCAATCAGATGCTCTCTTTGGGCGGAGCCCTCTATTATGTGCAAACTATTCTGTCTGAGGTAATTCTCTTAAAGATCCCCCACCAGCACATCCCTGGCTCTACTCTCAGCATTATTGTGTTTAAGAATTCCTGTACTCTGCCTGACTGGCATGGTTCAGTGGTTGAGCGTTGACCTATGAACCAGGAAGTCAAGGTTCGGTTCCTGGTCTGGGCACATGCCCAGTTTCGGGCTCGATCCCCAGTGTGGCGCGTGCAGGAGGCAGCCGATTAATGATTCTCTCTCATTGATGTTTCTCTCTCTCTCCCTCTCCCTTCCTCTCTGAAATCAATAAAAATATATTTTTTAAAAAATGATTCCTGTACTCTGCAGGATGCTGAAATATTCGGTTTTGATGTTTACAGCCCCATTTCCCTTGGTTTTACCTGTGAAGTCTTGGGCATTAGCTTGTTTTTTATTTCCTCCCGGGCTGCAAAGACATTTTATTCCAGTTCTTGAGGGAAGTTTTAATTGCCAATCGACTAGGTATTCAACATGATAAGGTATCTAAACCCTGAGAGCTTCCTCCTTTCATTAAAATGTGGATCCAATTTCTTTTCCCTTAATGCCACATGCTGTTATTAAACTGAAATAACGGAAATAGTAAAAGCCAGATGTCACTTCAGTCTCAGGTTTGACGAGGGGCACAATTTCCTCTCCTCAAGTTCAATCTGCGTTATTTACTCACCCCATCCTCTGGAAGAATGCACAATTTAAATGTAAATGCAATTTACATAGGGGAGCAGATAGTAGATTTGCAGTTTCAATTGCCAAAGAACCATTTGCAAAGGGGGAAATCAGCTAGAGCAAAGATCAGCAGCTGCCAGGCTGAAGTCCCATCACTTGCCATTCTCCTGTGACTTTCCTCCTGAAGCCACCTGCCTCCCAGCCTCAGCCAGGCAGGCGGAAGGAAGTGGGGAACTCTGGCATCTTCCCAGATAGTTCAAGGAGCATGGACTGTTGACTGGGGGAGAAAAGAGAAAGTTGGGGTTTCAATGAGCTAATCTGCTTGGCATCCTTGTTGAAATCATTAACTGACCAATTTCTTTCAAGAAATATTGATTGCCTGGCTGGTGTGGCTCAGTGGTTGAGCACCAATCCAGGAACCAGGAGGTTACGGTTCGATTCCCGGTCAGGGCATATGCCCGGGTTGCTGGCTCGATCCCAGTAGAAGGTATGCAGGAAGCACTGGATGATTGATTCTCTCTCATCATTGATCTCTCTCTCTCTCTCTCTCTCTCTCGCCCTTCTCTCTCTGAAATCAATAAGAAACATATTTTAAAAATAAAATCAATAAAAACATGTTTTTTAAACAGGAACTATTGATTGATCATCTCCTGTGGAGCAGACATTATACTTGGCCTAAATTAGGGAGAAAGCTATAGTCCTTTCAAGGAGCTCATTGTCTCCTTAAAGAGAAAAGAAAACAAATAATTACAAGAAAATAAGCTGTTACCAGGAGCCCAGACTTGGAAGCCCCTAGGGTTTGAAGGTTTCATTTAGGCTGAGACTTCCAGAATGGGCAATAGTTTGCC